CTATCTGATCGATGCGGGGGAGAGGAAAATGATCTTTCGGGCAGGCACGATTGATATGTTTGAAGTCAATGCACATGCGAAGTGACTTGTCCTTCTTGGGGACCATGACAACGTTGGCGAGCCACTCGGAGTGGTAGATTTCTCGGATGAACTCCGCTGCTAAGAGCCGAGCCACCTCCTCGCCAATAGCCTTTCTCTTCTGGACGGCGGACCATCGGAGATGTTCCTTGACAGGTTTTACTTTTGAGTCGACTCTTAGGCGGTGCTCAGCCAGCTCCCTGGGAACACCCGGCATGTTAGAAGGCTTCCATGCGAAAATGTCCCAGTTCTCACGGAGGAACTGGATGAGCGCTTCTTCCTTTTTGGAGTCGAGTGTTGTTAAGATATGAGTTGGAGCAGCGCTGGGATCGGTCGGGTGGATGTGAGTTGTCTTCGTTTCGCTAGACGACTGAAAAGCTGATTCTGTAGCGGGCTTCTTGGCTCGCAACAAATCACTCGGGTCTGCGGTCTTCTGGTATTCCTGCAGCTCCACCACTGCCATCTGAGCATCAACGATCTTTGAACCTTTGTGAAAACATTCTTCCGCTTTCTTCCGATTGCCCGTAATAGTGATCACACCTTTGGGGCCAGGCATCTTCAACTTGAGATACACATAACATGGTCGGGCCATGAAGCGTGCATAAGCCGGCCTGCCCAAAATAGTGTGATAGGCACTCTGGAAGTCTACAACTTCAAACGTCAACTTTTCTTTGCGGTAATTCTTGGAATCACCGAAAACCACATCAAGAGCAATCTGGCCGAGTGATTCAGCCTTCTTCCCAGGAATGACTCCATGGAAACTCATGTTGCTGGTACTGAGTCTGGACATCGGAATGCCCATCCCTTTCAACGTCTCAGCATATAATATGTTCAAACCACTGCCACCATCCATCAAGACTTTGGTCAGTCGAGTGCCTTCAACAACTGGGTCGACCACCAAAGCTTGCCTCCCAGGGGTGGCGATGTGCGTTGGGTGATCGGACCGGTCGAATGTTATGGCAGTTTGAGACCACTTCAGATAACTGGGTGTCGCCAGAGCAACCATATTCACCTCTCGGTTGATAACTTTCAGTCGACTTTTGCTTTCAACATCAGCAAAAATCATCAGGGTGGAATTGACCTGGGGGTATCCATCGTCACTATCTTCCTTGTCCTCAAGTTTTTCCGACTCCTTTTCCTTATCTTTGGGCTGCTTGCCCTGGAACTACTGGATCAAGAGTCGGCACTGTCGAGTGGTATGTTTCGGGTAAATGAAATTACCCTCTTCATCTTTCTTGGTGTGGACGAGACATGGCAAATCCAACACATCATTTCCGTCCTGGCCTTTAACTTTCTTGGGGTTCCAAGGTCCTTTGGGTTTCCCTTTAAACTTTCCTTGGGTTGCAGCCGAGGCTTCCCCAGGAGCAGCTGGCTCGGCTTTCCGCTTCTGTTTCCGATTGGAATTTCCTCCGGTTTCTTGAGCGACTGACTTGAGCTTGCCACTCCTGAGTCGATCTTCATCTTCACCATTAGCGTACTTGGTGGCAATCTCCATCATCCGATTCAGAGACATATCTCCGGTCCGACCGAATTTCAGATTCAGTTCTCTGTACTTGACACCTTCTTTGAAGGCACAGACTGCTTGGTGGTCAGGCACATTCTCTACCGTGTGATGTAACGTGATCCATCTCTGGATATAATCCCTCAAAGTTTCATTCAGCTTCTGCACGCAAGACCGCAGTTCAGTCAGCCCTGCCGGTCGCTTGCATGTTCCTTCAAACATGGTGACAAACACTCGGGCGAGATCTTCCCAAGTGTAAATGCTGCTGGAGGCTAACTGGTTCAGCCACGCTCTGGCCGAGCCCTCCAACATGAGAGGCGGGTGCTTCATGGCCACTTCATCATTGCCGCCGCCAATCTGGACGTCCACTTGGTAGTCTTCAAGCCAAGTATCGGGCTTGACTCACCAGTGAACTTACTGACTCCAGTCGCCAACCTGAAGTTGGGAGGAATCACAGCGGCCCTGATGGCTCTACTAAAGCACTCTGGCCCCGAAACATGTGCTCTGCTGCTGGTAGGTGCATCTCTGTCGTGACCTTCTCGGTGAGCTCTGTTCCTGTCCACCAAACCTTGAACGAGAATAGATCTCGCATCAAAGCCTGGCTCCCTGGAGTCGACTGGAATCCTTCGCCCAACACTACGAGGGCGCTTGTCATCCTGCTGTCAAGGCGCATACGACCCGCTCCTCGGGTGAGGGGTGGGCACTCGACGTTGATCGTCACGATCGAATCGGTGATCATATTGCTCACGGTTCCCGTACTGATTACGCCGGTCCCCACGTCCCTCACGCCTTAGGGGCGATCTTGGGCTATGAGCCGACTGGATTGTGTCTGCAGCAACGGATCTGCTATGAATCCTGTTCCACGACTGAGAGACAGCGGAATTCTGGTCTCCTGCTGCCCAGAGTAATGCTCTGACCTGCAGCAAGCCTCTGCCAGCCTCCGACTGGGAAGGCTGAATCGATTCTGCTATACGGGCTGCAGCTGCTAAATTCTGAATCGGAGTTCGATATACCCGCGGGGGCGGAAAAAGCTGACGCCGACTGGATTCTGGAACCCGTTGTCGCGCACACTCGTCGAGTGCTCGCTGGAGGTTCTCCAGTCGAGTGTGCTCGGCCAAGTTTGCCAGGCGTGCGTCCTCCATGGCACGAGCCTCGGGGGTTTCTCCAACGATAGGAGTGTGCAGTGCATCCATGTTTCGGGGACGAAATTCTTCTCTCTGCAGCGACGTGAGAGGCTCGGGGAGATATTCCTCATGAGGACGCGACGGGTCGCCTCCACCTGCGCCTCCGTCGGTGCGGGGAAAATCGGGAGGACTGGGCGGTCCATCGACCATCAGAACCTCCGCCACCGGATCGCTGCTGTCGCACTCAGATGCGGTCTCTATGGAGCCAGTCGACAGATCGAACAGGCCATAGAGGGATTCATCGGGCTCGATCGCCACGACTTGAGGGGTGGCCAACTGGCGTGCCACAACGTGTCTCACCCACCGCTGAAGTCTCGACCGACCGGAGCGCCTGCGCCGGCGGGAAACAGGGAGGGAGGACAAGACAGGAGCCGACCGGTAGGGGGTCGACGGTTGCCGCAAAAGGATGCCGTGGACGCACGCGCGAAAGTGCGTCGTCCCGCAGACAGGGAGCGCGTCCGCGTCGAGCGGAGCCTCCTGAAGCCAAGCGAAGTCGTCGGCGATGAACGTGAGCGCGCCGAGACGGATCTCGTGGCCCTCCACCAAAACTCCACCGGAAACCATGATGATTCGGATCGGAAAAGATCGCAACTCCTCCAACAAATCGCTAAAACACCTGCCCCAAGGTGGGCGCCAACTGTCGTGGTTCTAAGTCTGACAGTAATGTAGGGGGGTAGGTATGGAGAGGCAAGATCTTAGTTATGGAGAAGTTGTAAGCACGCGAGGTTTACGAGTTCAGGCCCTTCTCGGAGGGAGTAATAGCCCTACGTCTCAGAGCCCGGAGGCGGTCGACTGGATTATGCGTGTATGAATTACGGGGGTGCGAACCCTTTACACTGAGGAAGGGGTGGCTTATATAGAGTTCGCCGGACCCCTTCGGCCCTCAGTTATGCAGGGTTTTAAATACATTAAGGTCGGGCGTTACTGGTAACGCCTTTAATAAAGTGCTATGATGATCATAAAAGCTACTTAATAACCGACCGTTAGCGTGCGGAGTGCCTTTAGGTCTCCTGGCCGTTGAGTGGTTTGGTCTTGGTCGAGTGATCGCTTCTTGGTCAAGTGTCTCCGAGTCTGTCGAGTGGAACACTTCCAAGTCGATTGAAAGGTGATTTCTTCTAGAGATGTCCTTGAGTAGGGCAGTTTGGACAGGTCCATGACCCTACCCTAGGTACATAGCTTCATCATCCACCTTGTTGGTTGTAGCATGTCGTCTCACTCGACACAACATCTGCCCTGATCGATTGTAGCACGTCGTCTCACCGGTCGCAACATCCGCCATCGATGGGTGCAACATTTAGTCACAACGGTTGTAGCATATGTTGTTGTTGCTTGCAACATTTTTCATCGTCGTTTACAACATCTGTTTTGTATCCCATGCATCATCCGATGTCCTGGTCGATTGTAGCACGTTGTTTCACCGGTTTCAACATCCGCCATAGATGGTTGCAACATTTAGTCACAACGGTTGTAGCGTCTGTTGTTGTTGCTTGCAACATTTTTCGTCATCGTTTGCAGCATCTGTTTTGTATCCCATGCATCATCCGAACTGAACATGTGATCAGTTCTGTCACAATCCCATGAGCTTTGTACATCTACCTCCAATCGGTTTTGAGCAAGTCACCAACGCGTGACCCCCTGCACATAATCCTCACCAAGCAGCTTCATACTCTCTCTTCTTGGGATCCAATTGTGATGGGGGATATGGATTGTAACGACATCAACATCAGTAATTGATACTCCCTCCGTCCCACAATGTAAGACGTTTTTTAACACTACATTGATGTGAAAAAATGTCTTACATTATGAGATAGAGGGAGTAGATGATTACTATTCAACATCAACAATAAGAAAGACACTAATCGCTAAGCGCGATTTAGGAAAATAAAATTACAGTCTTTATATTACAATCTAGAGGATAAGTAGCACGACTGTGATTATTTATTTCTAGCGAAAAGTATGTTTTTGGTCCCTTAAGTTCACCAAAAGTATATACTTGGTCCCTCAAGATTTTTTCTAGAGAAAAGTATGTTTTTGGTCAACCCAGTCAAACCCGTCAACGTGGTCAAAATCTGGTTTTGGACCAAACTTATCCGGTTTTGAGACATGAAGGATGAAATGTCTACCAAAAATTCTTAAAAGACCAAGCTTATATTTTTGAGGAACTTGAGGGAACAAAAATATACTTTTTTTTTATTTCTATAAGGCATACAGAAAGTACGTACGCACATCCCCAAGTTTTACTTGTTCTGGTTTGCTTCCTTCCTTTTCTGGGCAATGGACTCGAACAGGCTTCCATCGAAGCAGCCACGAACTGCCTCCCTTGAAAGGAGCCCGTCGTCGCCTTTGGCGAGCACGTACAACAGTATCCACTCCAGCTTACTCGCCATCCTGAATTAACGCCATGATAACATAAGCATCTCAGCTATTGAGAAACTGGAACTGAAGGCAAGCCATCAAATGAGCTCAGCATTGCAGAAGTGTTCACCGTCCAGGTAAGTCGAACGCCAGCCGCTGGCCTTCGGTCATCCTCCAGATCTCACCGAAGGTGAGCTTGTCCGGCACCGTGCGCGCGTTCTTGCTGAATATGTTGTCGAAATTCACCGGCATGAACCTAAGCTCCCACGACCGCACAAGCCGGTCATGCATGTAACCAAGCGGAGCAGACAGCGAACAATATGACGTTTTCTGAACTAGTAGAAGGAATTCAAGCTACGTATGTACCTTCCTTCCGTGTCGTACGTTGAGGTGTCGCTGCCATGCTTAGCCCTGTGGATGTTGCTGATGTAGACTGGGAACAGGGGAGATGGTATCCAGCCCTGTGGAAGATGAGATGAATGAGAGCTTCAAGTTCAGGAAAAGAACGCAGTCCAACATTCATTTGAACCTTTTCAAGTTCTGAACCTTTTTGCACTTACAGGCAGAGTCGGAAAGCTTAGGCCAACGTTTATGACGACTGCCATGATGAAGGACGCGACCACGTTGAAGCCCAACGCCCTTAGTCCTGGAATTCGTGCAGGATCAACGATGAACTGAACAGTCGACCGGCGGCAAGTTCATGCCATGAGATGTTTTCCAGAGAACACTACGGATCACCGTGCCTTACCTCCGTAAGTCTCCCAGGGATAGACGACGCCGTCGCCGTCGAGGTCGAAGAAGGCCACATGCTGCTGCAGCACGCTCCTCTGCCGGTGCTCGTGCGGCCCCTCCTTGGTTCCTTCGGGATGGTTCACGTCGGGCGCAATCAGAGCTCGTGCCAGATCTGCGCACATGTTAACCATGCGTTAGTGCAGTGCTGTGACACCATGAATATGGTAGGGAGGAATCGAAGAAGCTGGCCGGGCACTCACAGGGCTTGGGAACGAGCGTCTCCAGGTCTGCCCGGACCGGCCGGTCGGCCGTCACCGGCGCCGCCTTCGTCACGGATGACATCGCGTCAGTGGGCACCTTAGCCTCGTCCGCCATTATGCTCTCTGCCTCTGTGCCACTCTACGTTGCAAATGGCGATCAGTGGTAACGGAGCTCTTCTTTTACACGCGCGAGGAGTGCGGACAATGGGCGCGGGAAAGCCCGGCGGAAGTCACGAAGTGTGCGTGCAAGGCAGAGTACGCGAGCTGCCGTGCCGCGCAGAACCTTCTCTGTGCTGCTCGGGAGCTGAACGTACGTACGCCGTGGCGCTCGTTCTCGCCGTCCATCGGAAGACGACAGTGCGGCACGCGTTCATGCACGCCGCGCCAGTCTTTTATCTCCTCACGTGCCGTGCGGGCCAGAAACATATAATTGCACTCGATTTGCCGACATGAAAGTGTTCATATGCACATCCTACCCCTATGAGTATCTCCGAAAAACTGAGCCGGCATATCATCTTGAAATTTGTGAAGTTACCGTAGGCACCTCGTCGTCGACGGGAACGTCTTTTCCCACTGAGTACGCCTCACCGGAAATCCTGAAATAAATCCATAAATAAATACGAACATCAGGATTTAAATCCTGGTGGACTAAGGATACGACGGTCCCTCTAACCATCCAACCACAAATTGTTTCACAAAAATGAACGGTACAAGTCTGCACATACATATACAAACTCTCCTCTCTACCTTCGTTCCCGTATCTCCCATGCAATTCCTTATCGATCAATTAAAGCAACACCTTGTCGATCAATCACTCAAAGATATTCTACTATCTTTTCAGTTTTATCATGTCGATCTTTACGTGACTTGTACTTTGTTCTTTATGATATGAATGTAACACGTATTACCATGCTAAAAAAAATTAAAGCAACGCCTTGTCGATCAATCGCTCCACCGGCTCGTTCCCTAACTCGATTGCGTTTGCTGATAGTTTGACCTTTTATACACTGATCGTTTGACAGTTGCCAATTTGACCCTTTGACCATTTGACTATGTTGGCCATCGACTTCTTAAAGAATTTGAAAAGGTTCACAAATATGCAAAAGTTTATGAATTCTACTAAACAAAATCATGAATTTGAAAAGGACCGTGCTACAAATCTGATGCCAGATGTTTAAACATGCCAAATCAAACATTTTTTACGGGAAATTACATGTCATGAACCTCACAATTCCCTTCGGCAAGCATGGAAATCTTGGCATGTTCAATTTTTTTCACCAACATTTGCCATGTTTGCTGAAGGAAATTACCTTGCTCTTGACACGTAATTTGTCATTAAAAATGTTTGATTTTCCATGCTTAGAAATATGACGTTAGATTATTACCATTTTCTTTTGAAAATAGTTCACATATTTGAAAACTTGTTCATGAATTTGAAAAAAAGTTCAGAAATTTGAAGAAAGTTTACGTATTTAGAAAAAAGTTCATGAATTTGGAAAGAAAAGTTCATCCAAATTAAAACTAATAAATAAATACTAAAATAATACATACACGGACAAAAGCTGGCCAAAAACGGACAGAAACAAACACAAAGAACCGGCCACCAAAAAAGCGCTAGAAGAACCCACTACGCTACAGTCATAAGTGGGCTGGCCCGTTTGGTCCGGGTGTGTGCGCCCCTTACGCATTGGCTCTACTCCGCATTGCATCTCTGCCATGGTTCTAATTAAAGCGTCCAATGTGCATTACAAGATCACAATTGTGTACGGCCCGTCCTCCCGCACTCTCAAGGACGCATTCTTCGCCGAGCTCATCACTCAGAGGCCTCCCACTGGTACCCTTTGGCTTTATCTGGGAGATTTTAACCAAATTTACAAAGCGTGTGACAAAAACAAGAGAAACATCGACACTAGACATCTTAAACGTTTTCGTGCAACGCTCCAAAGTTGTGGCTTGATGGAGATCCACCTCCAGAATAGACGTTTCACGTGGTCAAACGAGAGGGAAACCCCGACCCTTTGCAAGCTCGACTCGTTCTTTTGCAACGCGGAGTGTGACGATCAGTTTGGCAGCCACATCCTTCATGCACTCTCGTCCTCGCTCTCTGATCACTGCCCCCTCCTCCTCGCCGAGGTTAGGGGACCCCGGAGACCGCGAAGCTTCAAGTTCGAGAATTTTTGGGTTTCTCTTCCAAGGTTCAAGGAGGTCGTCCTCAAGGCATGGAATGAGCACACAGACCATACCGAGCCGTATCAAATCCTACACTACAAGCTCAAGAAGACCGGTGCCCGCCTTTCCGAGTGAAGTAGGGGGTTGTTCTCCAAAGCGAAGGTACATCTCCACGCCGCCCTCTTGATGATTTTGCACCTTGACATGGCCCAGGAAAATCGACAACTCTCTGTGGAGGAAGGGGACCTCCGCAAGCGGCTCAAAAGACGAGTCATCAGCTTAGCGGTCATGGAGAGGGCTCGTAAGAAGCAGTGCGCGAGACTGGCCAACATCAAGGAGGGTGATGCAAACACCAAATTTTTTCACCGGAGGATCAATGGGAGACGCCGCAAAAATTTCATCCACATGCTTAAGCATAATCAAGGATGGATCACCGACCATGATGCCAAAGAGAAGGTTGTCCATGACCACTTCACCGAGGCCATGGGAAAAGGGCGCCCACGGGTGCGCGACTTCAATTGGGAAGAGCTTGGCTTAGAGGTACACAACTTGGACTCCCTCGCGGACCCCATCACCACGGAGGAGGTGCACGAGGCCATTAAGCAAATGCCAAGCGATAAAGCACCCGACCCAGACGTTTTCACCGGATTGTTCTTCAAGAGTTGTTGGAACATTATCAAGGAGGACATCATGAGGATAGTCTCTCTTTTTGGCAACCTACACACGACAAACCTCACTGGCTCAACTCTGCAAACATTGTACTAATTCCTAAGGAGGGTGCTGAGGGGATCACCGACTTTCGGCCTATTAGCCTCATCCACTCCATTGCGAAGATTGTTGCCAAAATTTTAGCAATTCGGCTAGCGCCTCACATGAACAAGCTTGTCTCCAACGCGCAAAGTGCTTTCATCAAGACTAGGAGTATCCATGACAATTTCATGTATGTGAAAAATCTCGCGCGTCGCCTCCACAAGAGCAAAACTCCGTCCCTCCTCTTCAAGCTTGATATAAGAAAGGCTTTCGACTCTATGAGATGGGAGTATATCATTGACATCCTCCAGCAGAGGGGGTTCCCGAGCACCTTTCGGAATTGGATCACCGCCCTCCTATGCACCTTCTCGCGGGTTCTCCTCAACGGCATCCCGGGCAACCCCATTACCCACGGAAGTGGCTTCCGGCAGGGGGGGTCCTCTCTCACCCCTGCTATTTGTCATTGCCATTGACCCCCTTCAAAAGATCCTTGAGTTGGCAACTAGGAAGGGTTTGCTTCACAAAATCCGTGGTCGTGGGCCCATCATGAGAACATCCCTCTACGCTGATGACGCAGCCGTCTTTGTTGCACCCATCAAGAAGGATATTGACAACCTCTCTGTGTTGCTCGGTGCGTTTGGTGATGTCACGGGACTATGCACTAACTTCCAGAAGAGCTCTGTGGTCCCGATTCGATGCAGACACCTACAACTCGACAACATCCTCCAGAATTTCCCAGCTGCCCGTGCTTCCTTCCCAATAAAATATCTGGGGCTATCTATCTCGGTTTGGCAACTAAAAGTTCGGGATTTCCAATTCCTCATGGACAAGGCCGCTTCCAAACTTGTCCCATGGGACGGGAAAAATATCACTGCCATTGGTCGGGCTGCCCTTGTCAAGTCTGTGCTATCCTCACAAGCCATCTACTTCATCACCCCACTGGTCGTTCCACCGAGCATCCTCCACAAAACCAACAAGCTTGAGAGAGCTTTCCTTTGGGCGAGAACATATAAGACTACCGGCGCGAAGTGCAAAGTTAATTGGGAATCCGTATGCCGGCCAATCGAATATGGAGGTCTTGGGGTGCTAAACACGGAGAAATTTGCAAGGGCTCTTCGTTTGCGTTGGCTTTGGTTCGAATGGAAGGAGCCCATCAAGCTATGGGTTGGGACAGGCAACCCGTGCGACGAGATGGACAAAAATCTCTTCTATGCTTCAACGACCATAACTGTTGGCAACGGTGCACGCACGCCATTCTGGGACTCCCCTTGGGTGCGGGACCAAAAGCCAAGAGACATCGCACCACTTATTTACGACGCTTCCTCTCGGAAGACTTGGAAACTTCGGGAAGCCCTCCAGGATGATGCTTGGGTTCGCAAAATCAAGGTCACTTTCAACTTCACTTTTGGACATCTTCGACAATTTATTGAGCTTTGGTCCACCATCCGCGATTTCCATCTTGAGGCGCACGCTGAAGACGACATCGTGTGGAAACACACAGAGAGCAGGATATACACTGCCAAATCCGCCTACTTGGTCCAATTTTTCGGCATCATCAGCTCCCTCATGGAGCTTGCAGTGTGGAAGGCCTGGGCCCCGCCCAAGGTCAAATTTTTCGCATGGTTGGCCATGCAAAATAGGGTTTGGAATGCCGACCGTTTGACCAATCGGGGATGGCCCAATTGCAGGCTTTGTCCTCTTTGCAAGCGGGGATGGCCCAATTGCGGGCTTTGTCCTCTTTGCAAGCGTGGGTAAGAATCCATCGACCACCTCCTCTTCAGATGCCGGTACACTACTACTTTGAGAAATGATAAAAGATTGGCTCCAGCTCGAAAACATCAACACTTCCGCTTGGCACCTGGCCCGGTCAACCGAAGAGTGGTGGATCGGACTCTCCGACTCTATCATACCAAATAGGAAGGCCATGGCCGCCCTCTCCATGCTCACCTCTTGGACAATCTGGAATGAAAGGAATGCCCGCATCTTCCAACTCAAGAGTGCCCCGCCGACGATTCTACTAGCTAATATTAAGAATGAGGCTCATACTTGGATCACCGCGGGTGCAAAGAAATTGGGATCCATCATGCCACGAGAGTAGGCCTTTTGTAGTGGTGTTGTAGCACGATGTGTGTTGTAACACAAAATTCAAACTCTCTTTTCCCTCTTAATTAATGAATGAGGCAAGTCTTTTGCCTC